CTAAACTCTAAACCCTAAACCCTAAACCCCAAACCCCAAACCCTAAACCCTAAACCTTAAAACTCTAAACCCTAAACCCTAAACCCTAAACCCTAAACCCTAAACCCTAAACCCTAAACCCTAAGCCAAGGGCAGCCGGATGAGTTCCACTTGGAGGTTCATGGGTAGTGATAAGTGGGGTTATAAGTAGGGTAGCTATAGTTATATCCCATATTAGGGGGTTTATAAACCCTACTTATAACTACCCATGAACCTGCAAGCTCCGAGGCTGCTCTGATCTTCGCCTTGCCCGAACCGCAAAATCAGAAACACTTCTGATGAGAGTTGAGTTTAGGGTTTAGGGTTTAGGTTTAGGGTTTAGGTTTAGGGTTTAGGGTTTAGGGTTTAGGGTTTGAGTTGTTTTTGGGAAGGGGGGGGTATATTAGGTTCTGTTCTTTTTGGGGGAATCCGAGGGTCAGGGGAGAACGTTGTAAGACTGATGTGACGGAAATTATGCTCCTAGTCGTGCTGATGATATGACCAAGAGCCAAGATTGATCTTCCGTTTACCGTCTAGGGCACAAGCTCACCCCGAAACCCTGCACCCCAAACCTCCAACCCTAAACCTAACCCCCAAGCCCTACACCCTAAACCCTAGACCGCAACTCGCGCCCACTGCCAGGATGAGTGCGTGGAGAAGCTGAATCAGGTGGCAGCGTTTGGCTTTGCTCTGGGTCGTCGTTGGCCCTCCTACGCAGCTTTGGGTTTAGGGTTTAGGGCTTTGGGCTTTGGGTTTACGGTTTCGGGTTTCGGTTGATGATATCAATCCCACCTTACCCGTTTTAAGGAATATACAATAATTCCTATTGTTTTGGGGTCCTTAAGGTAATGCAGGTTTTATATCATCAAGAGTAGCCGAAGCAGGGCACTTTGGCTGAAACGTGCCTACACTACAGATCCAAACCAGAAAGCCCCTAAACCCCAAATCCTCAAGAAAGACCTGAACCCAAAATGTACGCCCTGACTCGAAAACCGCGCAAACCCTACATGAAGCCCAGCTGAGCCTTTGTGCTCTCAGATGAGCAAGCCGATCTCCCAAACCCAAACTACACCTGCGAGTTGCTTTGGCATCATGCTTTCACGTTTCATAAGAAGGTCAGGGGGTTTTGGGCTTAACGTATAGGGTTTGAGGGCGGTCTTGGGGTCTAGGGTATTGGGTTTAGGGGTTTAGGGGTTTAGGGTTTAATTCGGGCATCTTGTCTAAACCATAAACCCTAAACCCTAAACTTGTCTGCCCCAGGAGATAAGGCCCGTTGTAGTCTTGAGGCAGAGCGAGGAAAGGCGTTGGCCTTCGCCGCACAGGTCTCCGACCTCGAAAAGCACGGCAACGTCGAGACCTAAACCCTAAACCCTAAACCCTAAGCCCTAAAGTTCTTGCATAACTTCAAAAGGGAAAAGAAGGGCCCAGCTTTCTACCTGTCGATGTAATCTGGGAGCCTCAATAATTACCTACATTATTTTAGGGGGTTCGTTATTATCATTATAGTGTACTGGAACTCGTCCGGGACTACAACAAGGATGACCCTAATGCCAGCATTCCAGAAGCGTGCGACTTTCGCTTGATGAGCGGAGGCAGGACAGCGCCGTCTTGGGCACCGCTATGGGTTCCTCCAGTGTTGCCGTGATGGACTTTGTGATCTTCCTTCGTGTTCGGGGTGGCGGCAAAAGGGCGCGAATTGCAACCAGTGAGCCTTTTGTGATTACAGACGATGATGAGGCAATCGTCAAGAGCATCCTCACGACCTTCTCCACTTAGGGGTACTTAGAAATAATTTTTAATCTTTGGCTACTATAAACCCTAAGAAGCAGCTAAAATTATATTTTTTGCTAGGGGTCTAAGTTCAGTACAGTCCAAGCCGTGGTCTTTGGATGGCTGGGAGCAGATGGCGACGGATGACAGCATCACCGCCGACCTCCTGCGCGAGATGTCCAGTTGTGTATTGAGGCCCCTACATTACTGCCGGGCGGATCCTGAAAACTCAGTGATGTTGACAAAGACCCTAAACCCTTAAACCCTAAACCCTAAACCCTAAACCCTAAACCCTAAACCCCTAAATCCTAAACCCTAAACCCTAAACCCTAAACCCCTTCCTGCTGGACGCGGGGAAGCAGGATGAGTCATTGAAGACTTTGCGAGGCTTGAAGGGAGCAGCTTCAGGGTCACACGGTCACGGGAATCGTTGAACAGTTGAAACAACAAGCCTTGAACCCCGAACCCAACTGAAAGCCCAAGCCCTAAACGCCTGACCCAAAATCCGGAAACCCTCACAAACCTTAAACTTTAGGGTTTAGGGCTTAGGGCCCAAACCCCGGAAGCCACACAAAGCCTTCAACGCCGAAGCCTGAGCCCTAAAAACCCCAACTGATCATAGAGCCCTTAAAAACCCTATAGAGGTTTAGGGTTTTAGGGTTTCAGGTTTCGGCTGAAAGGAGCCCTTAACGGAGCCCGTAAGCTTCAAACCCCAAACTAAAGCCCAAAACCCCTGTAGAACCATTGTAGATTCCGTATAGAAGCCCTAAGGATCCATTATGGAATCCATGCAGAACCCTCTCTAGGCCTAAACACCAAACCCCTAAACCCTAAATCCCTAAACCCCTAAATCCTAAACCAAAAAACCCTAAATCCCTAAATCCCCAAACCCCTAAACCCTACACCGAAAAACCCTAAACCCTAGACCAAAAACCCTGAAGCCCTAAACCCTAAAACCCTAAAGCCATAAAGCCTAAAACCCTGAAGCCCTAAACCCTAAAACCCTAAAGCCCTAAAGCAAAAAACCCCGAAGCCCTAAAACCTAAACCAAAAACCCCGCAAGCCCTAAACCCTCCTTCAGGTGGTCCGCGAGTATGAGCACATGTGGGAGATGACTCTCGGAGAGATGACGGAGCGCTCGGGCCCCCAGCCGGGTTTAGAGGTTCGGGTTTAGGGGGATCTTTGGGAGTTTTTGAGCTTAGGGTGTAGGGGTTCAGGGTTTGAGGGTGTGAGGATTTAGGATTTTGTTTGGGGCTTTAGGGTTTGAGGATTTAGGATTTGGGGGTTTTAGGGTTTGAGCATTTAGGATTTGGGGGTTTTAGGGTTTGAGGATTTAGGATTTGGGTTCAGGTCGTAAGGATTCAGAGTTTAGGGTTTAGGGTTTAGGTTTTAAGGATTTGGGCTTTAGGATTCTGGGTTTAGGCTTTGGGGTTCAGGATTGGGGTTTTAGGACTAAGAGAGTTAGCCGCCTTGGGTGCTCGGGGTCGAGCTAAGCAGAATGTGCAGAGAGACCTCGTCAGAAAGGTTCAGACGGGTTTGGTTCCCAGCAGCATAGCTGTGACCATTCCACGCTTGGACCCCAAAGACCAAGGCTGAAGACATCGGCCAAATTCCCGTCAAGCTCCCTTCGCAGTGGATGAACTCTTGGACGGCACGCCTGCGATATTCCAGTCCATGTTCGGAAGCCCGCCGGACATCCAGAGTTTCTGGGCTAAGGCGAGACCAGAGCATGACCCTCGATTGCAAAACCATCCGATGCTACGGAAGAAATGAAGAGAAAAATGCATCCCTTTGGTGTTCCACAGTGACGGGGCAGCCTTTCAGAACAACGACTCGCTGCTGACATGCAGCTTTCGTGGGTTGCTGTCTAGCCAGGCCGGGATGCAGGACCACCTTTGGATCTTCTCTTTTCCGAAGAATGTCACTGCTCAAAGTACCTTGCACAAGGTCTGGTCTTGGATTGCGTGGAGTTTGGAGGCCCTGTTTCATATCAAGTGGCCTTCGAAAGACCCTGAAGGCAAGAGCCTGCATGCTCACCCAGTTGAGAGAGAGGGCTGGGGGCTCTTTTGCGTGCTAGAGAGGGGTTCAAACTGGCTTCGGGGCATTGATTCTAGGATATTTTCAGGTGGGTAGTTGCCGTTATAGGAGCCTTATAGAAGGTCTATATACCTTACAGAAGCCTTACAGAAGCCCTATAAACCCTAAACCCTAAAGCCTAAACCCTAAACTCCCAACCGGTAGTTTCCTTTAATTTATCTGCCCGCAGAGGCGGTTGCAAGAATAGCGAAAATCAGCAAAAGGTGGCGGCAGTGAGGGTAGCTGTTTACCTAGGACCCGGAGTAGGCCCTTATTTCCTTTTTAGGGTTGGGGCT